GCTAGTATTATTAGTAGTATTGTTATTAGTATTATTATTGGTAATTTAGGTTTGTGTGCTCTACGATTTTCCTGCTCCCTACCCCCCCTCCCCGTTTTTCGTCGTAGACTTCAGCTCGGCCTCCCCGGCTGCCTGTCCCTGGCTAATGGTAGAGCTCTGTCCCCGGTTCTGGCTCTCCTCCTGTGCCTGCATGCTTTCTTCCTGTCTTCCATCTCTCCTTCACGCCGTTCCCACCCACAAATGAATGCCTGGTCGCCCCAGAGTGGACTGAGATGGAGAGTTTGGCCCGCCTGGGGACCCAGGGTCGTTAGGGAAAGAACTGTCTGCTTGCAGAGAGATAATGAGGATAGAAATCGAAGTTGGGTCTGGCTTTGGCTCTCTGGACCAGTTCTTACAGGGTGTTTTCAGGTTAGCTCCATAATGCTTTGTTTTTCCTCGGTTTTAAATGGTATATACACCAGAGTCCACTAGTGTTTTTCCCAGGAGCAGAATTGTCTCCAAGAACCAGGATGGGGGCAGGTAAAGGAATAACTGGCGTGTTCTGCGTACAGGGGGTTTTGTTCAGCCTGGGAGTGTGCAGAGCCCCTGTTGTTTAGTAAGGCTTATTCTGGCCCCAGCTCCCAGTGTGGCATAGCAAGCTCATAAAAATCCTCAACCTCCCAGCATACCTTCCGTCAGACCTCCCCAGATGGGACTTAGGGCTGCTGGGAATGGAACCTGGGACACCGGGCCCTGGGGCATGATTACAGAGCTGGCGTCTAATAGCTTGGCAGTCCTAAGTTCTCTTACTTGCTCGATGGAATTGTGTACCCCGTTGTGGTTTTCTCTGGGGCTTGGACCTGGTTGGTTGTCCAATTTTATCTCTGATTACTGGAGGAGTGAAAGAGGACTACTTTTGGGATAACGAGAGAGGCTGCTGCCATTTCTAAGGTGGCACAAAGGATAGAGCGTTTATATCAGGAAGATACCCGTCTTTTATTTGTTTTGTCAGGAAGAAAGGACTGGCTGTGGGAGCTGAGTGGATTGTGGTTGCTTAAGAGACTGTAGTAGCTTACACAAGCTCGAGAGCCACATATCTGGTCCCTAAAGAGAATGAAGAGAGCTTCTAGGCCTTTGTCTGTGAAGGGGACAGAATTTGAGCTGCCTACTGTCTGACCCACAGGCACCGGCTCGTTTTGGGGGAGGTGCCTGCAGGACCCAACGTACTCAATGAGCTTCCAGCGCAATGTCCGATCGCTCGGGGCCGACTGCCAAGGGGAAGGATGGAAAGAAGTATTCCTCGCTCAACCTGTTTGATACGTATAAGGGCAAATCCTTAGAGATCCAGAAACCCGCTGGTGAGGGTCCTGCAAAGAGGTTGTTAAAATGTTTGAAGGCTGAGCATATGTGGGGTGTAGGTTTCTTCAACAGAGGCAGCAAACAAACCAGAGGAACACTGGAGACCTCCTAGTTTCATCCTCAGCGCTAATGGGGGGGGTGCCCCGGGCTATGGGTAAATAAAACACCAGTCATCCTCCTGCAAAGGCGTGTTTTTGGTTCCTTTGTCCTTGGACACGTAAGAATCGGAGGGAAAGAAATGTGGATTTGCACAGATCTGGGGCTAGCTCGCTCCACGCAGGCTCTGGATCAACGGTCCCACAGAGAAACACTGATTCTACCGTGTCTCACCTTTCTCAGGAGAGTTTAGAGCTTGTTAGTGTGTGATGTCCGGGATGGCTTCTGAGAAATGGGTAGTGAAAAGGTAGTAGACTGTGGAGGCTTAGCCGGGCGTTGGTGGCGCACGCCTTTAATCCCAGCACTCAGGAGGCAGAGGCAGGCGGATCTCTGAGTTCGAGGTCTGCCTGGTCTCCAGAGCGAGTGCCAGGATAGACTCCAAAGCTACACAGAGAAACCCTGTCTCAAAAAACAACAACAACAAAAAAGAATGTTGAAGCTTGTCTAAATGGGACCTGTGGATGGGAGACTGTTAGGCATTTTTGACTTTTTCTCCACATTTTCTTCAGTTGCTCCTCGACATGGCCTGCAGAGTCTCGGAAAAGTTGCCATTGCCCGGCGTATGCCACCCCCAGCCAACCTTCCAAGCCTGAAAGCCGAGAACAAAGGCAATGACCCCAATGTCTCACTAGTGCCGAAAGACGGAACAGGATGGGCAAGCAAACAGGAGCAGTCAGACCCCAAGAGGTAGAAAGGGACCTGGGGTACCTGGAATGATGGATCTTTTATCTTCGAACTTGAGAATATATTAAGGCATTTGTCTGCTCTAGACACATAAGAGCCAAAGACAAAGAGAGAAGCACATTTTGCACCTCCTCATGTTAGATGACAAAGAAACGAAACCTTAAGCTTAGACAGATGGAGAGAAATAAGAGCCACACAGAGCCTGTCTGATGACAGTTATTTTGTCCTAGTATTTGTAGATGGTAGTGATAGGCAAGGGTCAGTTTCAGTGGTGGACCAGTTAGAGAACTAAGGCCGAGGCTTCTCACACCCTGATACCCTTTCCATCCTGCTATTCTCCCAGTTCCGATGCCTCAACCGCTCAGCCGCCGGAATCGCAGCCACTGCCGGCTTCACAGACGCCTGCCTCCAACCAGCCGAAACGACCCCCAACAGCCCCAGAGGTACTAGGAGAACCTGGAGGGGTTGGCGCAAAAGTGACATTTTCCTCCTCATAACCATTTTTTTGCCTTTGCTTACCCAGAACACTCCTTCGGTTCCAAGCGGGGTAAAGTCCTGGGCACAAGCCAGCGTCACCCATGGAGCACATGGAGATGGTAAGTTCAAGAGTGTTGGTGGTCTGGGCATGGCGACCAACATCCTTAATCCCAGGACTTTGGAGACAGGAGCCCTGCATACTTTCAGTAAAGATCTTTGGTCTTTTGTCTAAATCTCCTTTTCCCAGTATTCAGAGCCTTCTCCACTTTCTGTACCTGCTCAGGGAGTGAGTTCCTGTCTGATTTACGTCCTCCTTTCAACAGGTGGAAGGGCATCAAGCCTACTGTCGCGATTCTCTCGAGAGGAATTTCCGACCCTGCAGGCGGCTGGCGACCAGGACAAGGCTGCCAAGGAAAGGGAGTCTGCCGAACAGTCGTCTGGGCCCGGACCAAGCCTCCGCCCCCAGAGTGAGTGGCTTCCTGGTGTGAATGAGGGGTTGAGTGTAACCAGGATAGTGCCTGCCGTATGGACGGACGAGCTGACTGTTGTGTGACTCTCTTTCCTCCCCGTCATTCTTGATGCAGCCTCTTGCCCTCATCAGGAGTAACTTAGCTCTTCCCTCTCTTTGCATTTCCCAAAATACAGATTCTACAACTTGGAGGGACGGAGGTGGGCGTGGCCCTGATGAACTGGAGGGCCCGGACTCCAAACTTCATCATGGTCATGATCCCCGGGGTGGGCTGCAGCCCTCAGGCCCACCCCAGTTCCCTCCCTACCGCGGAATGATGCCGCCCTTCGTGAGTTTGACTCTCCAATCTTAGAGTGGTTTCACTATAAAGGCAGAGTTGGGATTTAGGCAAAGTATTGGTGGCTAATGCCTTTCATCCCAGCATTGGGAGGCAAAGTTCAAGGCAGCCTGGTCTGCAGATGAGTTCCAGGACAGCCAGGGTTATTACACAGAGAAACTGTTGGGGGTGGGTGATTCAGGACTTAGTCTTTGGAGGACACAGTTAGAAAGTAGACCCCAGTGAACGGGGCGGGGGGGGGGGGGGGGGGGGGCCACCTTT